CTGATTGAAGGAAATTTTGCTTCCGGCGCTGGTTCCCAAGCTTTCCAACACCAACGGCTGGACTGGGGGGTCACCTGTCAAGACAAGCCCGGCTCACCTGGGGAGTAGGTAGGTAATCCTAGACATGACACACAGCCGGCCGCTACTTTAGTCCTCGACAGTTACCGACACTGTTCTCCCGCGGGCGACCATGCCTCCATCAAACTTATGGATAGCCGATGTTCCCCGTTTGAGCGCACCGAATGCACCAAAAATCACCTACCGCGTGAGCAGAGATCGAATAGCGCAGCATCCGAACCGCTAGCTCATCCAACGAAACCATGGCCCTGGGAGACCGTCACCCGCCCCTAATGCCCCTGGTGTCATGATATTCGCATACAGATACGGATTCTGTATAGACGAATGAGGGTCCAAGAATGGCCATTTCCATTCATTCGAATATTCGCCCACTTCAACTGAAGGGGCTCCAGAGCACTACTTCACATGTTTTGAGGACACTTCATCCTATGCCATTAACGATGTTGAAGGTAGCCGCAGCCGAGAGTCAAATGTCCGGTGCAACGGGTAGTTCATCTAGAATTGGCAAGCCGGGGTGGCTGGACGCTGGGAGAAGACTGCTACTGTGAACCCTCACGAAGCTCAGTCGACTCTATCCGTACGTACACTTGCTATGTGCAAGGCGTCAGGCTCCAGAGTCGGCCAATACACTACTACGTACTAAATAATCCATACCGCAAAGCCGCTAAAAAAGTATCCTCATTCGCTCCGAATGAGCCGGATGTGGCGCTCGGCTCACTTTCTGATGGAAGAGTACGTCGGAGCCCCCGTCTTCGGGATTTGTTCGTTTATCGCATCCAATGCCGACCAACGTCTGCTCAGCGCGTCAGATGGTCTGACCAGCAACTAGCCTTTGTATAGGTTGTTTGAAACCCAAGGATCCGGCAAGTCTTTCTTCGCGCATCGCTCGCCACGAGGAGCACTACGAGCAGCTGCAGAGACGCCATCACAGCATCCTACGTGCCTACTTTCCTAGCGTTGCTGCTGGTCTGCGGCCCAGCCCAGCCCAGGCCAGAGGGCCGTCTATCCTCAATTGTGGTATGGCGTGCGCCGCCCACGCGGCGATGATATGGGATGGCTGTCTATCCCATGGATCCGTCTACGCCGCACGAGCGACAGCCAGAGACTCAGAGTATGCACGCTCTCCGTGTGCTTCTCCTCTGGAACAAACGTACTTGTGCAACTAAGTATTGGTCTGTTATTCATTACCAATTTCTTATCATCGTATAGTCCATCCGTAAGGCTAACTCGCTGCGGCACTGCGGGCGACGCTTGCCAGGGGTCTTCAGTCTAACCTTTCGGGACTTGGGTCTTTACAACATGGCACCACCATGGCAATCTGGACCTGGGCCCTGTCCACGGCAGTCGTTCTTATTGGCATTTGTGCGCTTGGCCAAGGGAACCCCGACGCTGCATCCAACCGTTTGCGGCGCATCAAGAAGGAAAGAAAATTACGGTGCCTGGCCACAGCTTCCTTCCCCAAGCACGCTCTGGGATGGCCCTGGGCTTCCTGGTCTCTCTGATGCAGATGATGTTGGTGGATTTGAGGCGGGGCCGATGATGGGGACCCCAGTGCCGTTGCGCCGTGGGATGAACGGCCAGAAAGTTTTGGCCCATTGCCAAGATTGGCTATCGGCACTGGACATATTGCCTTGCCATTTCGATGGAGGAGCCGCCTCTTCAGATTTTGCTGCTTTGAAGCCCTTTGACTGGCCTAGACTGCCCATCTTTCCCATGCTATCCATCGACGGCCCGCCACATGTGAGAGAGGCAACCGTCGGAGAGGGGAAATGATGGTCCTGCCAACACGAACTTTCTCTTCCTTTCCCTTGGCGGATGATCTGTGGTTCTCAAGGGGGGCAGTCGGCCATCGAACTATCCGAGTGGTGGACGCCATGCCTACGGGACGACGGAGCCCAGTCAGCTACGGCTCCGATATCACTAGTCCCCGTCAACCTGGAGGAGTCTCCGCCTAGCCGACATTTCATGTCTATCATCTATGATGGTCACGTCCTGCGACATAGGCAAGGGAGACATTCGGTGGGAGGACGTCACGCATCTTGGAACAGGACAGCACAACTGCCTAGGCCCTTCGGTCTCGATTGTGAACAAACTCTCGCCTCGGGCAGACTGGGAGCGATGGACCAACTCCCCCAGTGCTAGGCCTCCTCGGTCAACTCAACAGACCGGCGTAAATACGAGCCACGCAAGCCCAACCATCCTAGGTAGGCCGTTGAGTGAAGGCCAACTCAAAATGGACCTTATGCACCTGTCGCGCCTCTTTGGAAATTTCCCAGCCAACAGGGTAATTTCGTGAAGCCGACGGGCGAATGTTACGCCCGCGTCTGCCTTGCATCGCGATCAACAGCCGTCATGCGGATGGTCTTTCCGACCTGTCGACGTGGACCTTACTGAGCGTCCCAAGCTCACCTACCCTCTCCTTTGGCGGCATTGGCCTAGCTCAATGGAAGGAAGGAAGGAAGGAAGGAAGCGGCAGGAACCTCTCAAGATGTCAACGCAACCATTGCAGAAGTTGTCCCCTTCCAATGATATGTCAGTGTGCGCTTCTTAGCCCCGGGAGCCTTGTACACTTTGTACAAGATGGATGGGCTGCTAGCCTGTGGCTGCCAAAGAGGGAACCATGGTGCGTGTGTGTGCACCTCGCCGCAACTGTGCAGCCCGCGTACATGCAGTAGGCAGTCCTTGAGGGTGCTCTCGACTCCCTATACTGCAACCACTCTGTCGCGAGGTTGTCGAACTCACTCACACAGACAGTGCAAGGGCGATGTGGGCATCGGCTGGCGGAGATGGCATCCCGCATCGCCCGTCGAGCAAAGCGCAGTGGCATGCGGGCGCGTGCCTCTCGGTGTCTGAGCACATCCTTTCCGTCCAGTGGGCCCGATCCGTACAGTTGGGACGCCCTTCGTCCAAGGCGCTGGATGGCCCATCTCGAACAAGCACCTGGCATATGTCCTGGCATATATTGGAGAGACATCGCCCCGTCTAAAGGGGGAAGAAGGAGACCGGGCCGCGGAGCACAATCTTTGTGGCAAGCTCGATCGGGACAGGTTACCGAGGCGAGGAGGAATTCGTTCCAAATCTCGTACGTAAAGCTGGGCAGTGGAGGAGCGACTGAGAGGCACAGTTTATTTGATTTTTTGCTCGCTTCCTGACTGGTACGGAACGGTTTGGAGATGACTGGTTTTTGCGTCGTATGCTGTCTCCTCTTCGACGGCGCGAGGGAATCCTTTCCGTGAGATAGATTCCCGAGGAGGGAGGCATATGAATCTTACCGAATGCAGGACGGTGAGCGAAAGTGCCACGCAAATCTGCGAGGCACCACTCCTTCCTTCCTTCCTTTCCTCCTCTCTCCCCAAATCCCATCCCTCTCTGTCTCTGTTTACTGTCCTCCTTCTCCGGCAGGCAGGCTGACAGGTTACTTGGCCCTCCTAGCCGAACGCAGCAGAAGGAGCAGCCCACATACGGGAACGACATACGGATACAGGGAGGGGATGGGGAGGCGGAAGAGGATGAGGATCAAGGACGATACAGATGGCCCGAATGTAATCTCCCTTTCCCTTTCCATCCCCCCCTTCATCGGGTCTGTGGCGTAGGCATCATGGAACGAAGGATGAAGGAGGCCGCATGTTCGCTGCATCTACTAACCTGCAGCACGAAGTCCCTCTGGCGTCGTCATTGCTGCGTCTCCTCCTCCCCTCCCTGCCACGCTTTACTTCCTTTTTCTCCAGTTCTTCAGTGCGAGGTGAGAGACATGGGTGAGTAGAAACGGTGACAGAGTGGTCAGTACGTATATCGACGCACCTACACGTATCTTGACGTTGATCTGGAAAGTATGTACCGGCAACTCTTCAATGCTCCAACTGTGCCACATGGTGTAGTCAGTATATTTGACCATCGAGAAGGATAGGTGTTGGCCCTGGAGACAAACGTACACGTCCATCGGGCCCCTCGATGGACTCTGCATGATGTACCTCTCCCCCTCAGAAATGTCTATCCCCCTCCATTTGCACAAAGCCAGAGAACTGGAAGACGAGAATACCTATGTCCATCCTGTTCCATCTGTAGATCGACCTGAGGGAAGAGATTAGCTACTAAACCCCTTTCTGTGTTCCCTCCTCGCCCTGCTGCATAGCTGAGGCCGGAAGCAGGTAAGGCAAGCAGGAAGGAACTTCGGGCCTTTTTCTCTGTCTCTCACACACTCTCTGCCCCTCGTTATCTTTTGTTCAAGGACCTGACAGTTTTGTGGCCTTGTTCCTGCTAGGACGAGCAGAATACACATGTCAGTCAAGGAGGAAAGAGTAAGGAGATGGACAGAGTATAAACATGTCAATCACCAAAATTAACAAAAAGAAAACTCAAAGAAAGTTATGCTCGATGAAGCCAAAAAAAGCTATAGACAGGATAGAACGGGACTTCTCTCTCTCTTCCCTTGCTCTCTCACTTTCTTTCCTCGATGCTGTTCCATTTCCCTTTTACCCCCTACCCTTCCCGTCCCTTCCTTTCCAATCCCAAACCATTGTGTATGTGTGTATATTTGTAGTGTTTGTTTTAGTTCCAATAAAAAAAAAAGTCAACCCGCCCCTCCCGGTGGAAAAACAAAAAAAGGTTGAATGTTTTTTTGTGTGATTTTGTCTAATCCGCTTTCATATCCCATTCCTCCGTCAGTGATGATGCTGCTGCTGCTGCTGCTGCTGCTGCTGCTGTACCCGAATGCTAAAACCACACCTCCCTTTTTTTCTCTGCCCTTTTCTGACTCATTTTTACCATCCTCGTTTGGTTGTTACCGGAAACGTGAAAACCCCCTCTCCCCTTCTGAGCCAACCCCCTGCCCACAGGCATAGAATAGCCGGTGTCAAGGTAGGCAGGCAGACAAGGGGAAAAGGTTGATGCAAAGTATTTGTAAAAAATAGACGCAGAAAAAATCAGCCCACCCAGCGTCTGGCGCTCTTGAACATCCTGACCCACGGGCCGAACTCTCCCCAACCCTCGACCTGCTCCGTGGGGACGTAGCTGCCGACGTCCGCCATGATGGTCCGCTCGGGATGGGGCATGAGGGCAAAGACCCTGCCGTCCCTGCTCCTGACGCCAGCCACGCCGCCAGGGCTGCCGTTCGGGTTGTACGGGTAGGCTTCCGGCTCCGCGACCTTGAGGCGGTTGTCGACGTAGCGGAGGGGCACGAGGCCCTCGCCGCTCAGGTCCTCGAGGGCGTTGGGGTTGGAGAAGGAGGCGCGACCTTCGCCGTGGGAGACGGCGATGGGGAAGGACGAGCCGTCCATGCCGTGGAGGAAGACGGAGGGCGTGGCGGCGCGGGACTCGTCAATCTTGACCATGGCGAAGCGCGCCTCGAACTGCCTGCTGGCGTTCTCGACGAACGTGGGCCAGTTCTCGGTGCCCGGGATCAACTCCTTGAGACGGGTAATCATCTGGCAGCCGTTGCAGACGCCCAGGGCGAAGGTGTCGGGCCTCTTGAAGAAGTTTTCAAACTCCTGGCGGGCGTGCTTGTGCTCGAGGATGGACTGGGCCCAGCCGACGCCGGCGCCAAAGACATCGCCGTAGGAGAAGCCACCGCCGGCCGCAACACCGACAAAGTCGGCGAGGGAGCGGCCTGCGAGGACGTCGGACATGTGGACGTCGATGGGGTCGAAGCCGGCGGCCTTGAAGGCAAAGGCCATTTCCTTGTGACTGTTGACGCCGACCTCGCGCAGGATGGCGACGCGAGGTGCCTTGCGGAGAAGACTGCCGAGGGAGGCCGTCAGGGGCATGATGTTCTCTGACGGAGAGAAGGTAAGGTTGTACGACAGACCGGGGTCCGCCGAGTCGGAGACGATGGCGTACTCGCTATCCGCGCACGCCGGGTTGTCTCTCTCCCTCTGCATGGCGTACGACGTCCTCGACCACCACTGTTGCATCTCGGCGCGGTCAAGGCTGACGATGGGGGTGTGGCCGCCGTAGCGGATGTTGAAGGTCTGGTTGCCCTTGGGCTGGACGACACCGAACGTGCGGACAAGGCCGGGAGGAGGGCCGCAAGTGGCGAAGCAGCGCTTGAAGTTGATCTCGTCCTCCTTGCGGACCTGGAAGACGGCACCGAGCTCCTCGTGGAAGAGGGCCTCGAGAATGTCGTTGGGGGAGCCGGACTTGGCGATGCCGTCGAGCATGAGGTCGGCGCCGCAACGGCCGGCGAACATCATCTCGGCGACGGTGGTCAGGAGACCGCCGTCCGAGACGTCGTGGTAGGCAAGAACCACGCCGCTCTTGTGTAGTTGCTGCAGAGCATCAAAGTAGTCCGTAATGAGATCCACGTTGCGCACGTCCGGTGCCTCGTTGCCCATCTGTCCCAATGATTGTGCCAGGGCGGAGCCGCCCATGGCCTTCTTGGCCTCGGCGAGGTCGACGTAGATGAGGATCGTCTCACCGACGTCTTCGACACGGCGCAGCTGAGGGGTCCATGTGTTGCGGACGTCCTCGACGACGGTGACGGCCGTGATGATGACGGACATGGGTGCCGTAACGCTCTTTGCCTCGCCGGACTCGCGGTCCTTCCACGAGGCCTTCATGGAGGTAGAGTCCTTGCCGACGGGGATAGAGATCTTGAGCTGAGGGCACAGCTCCATACCAATGGCTTGGACGGCCTCGTAGAGACCGGCACCTTCGCCAGGGTGGTTGACGGCGGCCATCCAGTTGGCTGACAGCTTCACACGATCGAGGCGGCCCAGGATGTCAGCAGCGCCGAGGTTGAGCAGACTCTCGGCGACGGCCATGCGAGCAGACGCTGCGGGAGAGATGAGAGCCAACTGGGGCTTTTCACCCATGGCCATGACTTCACCAGTGCGAGTCTTGGAGTCAAGGCTGAATGAGGTTGCCGTGACGGCGCAGTCGGCGACAGGAGTCTGCCAGGGACCGACCATCTGGTCACGGATGGACAGACCTCCGACAGTTCTGTCACCAATCGTGATGAGGAATGACTTGGAACCGACGGCGGGCATGCGGAAGACGCGCTCAGTGGCGGCGGTGATGAGGGCAGCGGTGTTGGTGGCCTCAGCAGCACCGGCGGCAGCGAGAGCCTCAGCAGCGTTGAATGCGGGGAGGTCCAGCCTGCGGGACTCGACGACACGCTCGAGACGGCGGCCGGGAGGGAAGAGGGCGTTGAAAGGCAGGTCGATGGGCATCGGCTGCTCGGGTGAGTCGCGGTCACTGAGAGTCAACTTGGCATTGCCTTGGGCGTCCTGGGCGGCAACGGTTCCCACGTCGGAAAAGGGGCATCGTTCACGACCTGATGTGCGGGTTAGCATGCTACAACAGCTGTGCAGATATGATGGAGAGGGACTCACGGCAGATGCTGACGAAACGGTTGATGTTCTCCTTGTTGACGAGCAGGACGTAACGCTCCTGGGCCTCATTGCACCAAATTTGCAAGGGGCTCAAGCTGCTGTCCGCGCTGTGAACCTGACGCAGCTCGAACTTGCCGCCGAAGCCAGCATCCTTGACGAGCTCGGGGAGAGCATTGGACAGACCACCAGCACCGACATCGTGGATCATGGCAATGGGGTTCTGGTCGCCGAGAGCGGCGCAGGTGTCGATGACCATTTGGGCGCGGCGCTCCATCTCAGGGTTGCCGCGCTGGACACTGGCAAAGTCGAGCTCGGCAGTGGCCTCGCTGGAGTCGTTGGAGGAGGCAGCTCCTCCGCCGAGACCGATGAGCATAGCAGGACCGCCGAGAACGATGGCATGGGCACCATCGTGAACGTCGCCGAGCTCCTTGAGGGCGTGTTGAGGACGGACTGTTCCAACACCACCAGCAATCATGATAGGCTTGTGGTATCCGCGCCACTCTGGGGACTCTTCCTTGCCGACGTTGGTCAGGAGAGTACGGAAGCAGCCGAGAAGGCAAGGTCTTCCGAATTCGTTGTTGAAGCGAGCGCTACCGATGGGGGCCTCGAGCATGATGTCAAGACTGCTAGCGAAATGGGCGGGCTTACCCAAATCAACCTCCCAAGGGGCCTTCTCGTCCGGAATCAACAGGTCAGAGACCCAGAAACCGCAGAGACCGGCCTTGGGAGCTGAGCCCCTGCCGACGGCACCTTCATCACGAATCTCACCTCCGGCACCAGTGGCGGCACCAGGGAAAGGTGAAATGGCGGTGGGGTGGTTGTGTGTCTCAACCTTGACGAGGACGTGGACGACCTCCTTGGTGAGCTTCCAGCTGCCGGTGGAGTAATCGGGGGCCCAGAAGCTGGCAGTCTCACCCTGGAGAACGGCGGCGTTGTCGCTGTAGGCGGAGACGGTGTACTCGGGGTTGGACTTGTGGGTGTTCTTGATCATCTGTAGGCGGAGACGGTGTACTCGGGGTTGGACTTGTGGGTGTTCTTGATCATCTCGAAGAGACTCTTGCCCATGCGCTGCTGATCAATGGTCCAGTTGGCGTTGAACTGCTTGTGGCGGCAGTGCTCCGAGTTGACCTGAGCGAACATGAAAAGCTCCACATCGTGGGGGTTGCGTCCAAGGTTCTTGAAGACCTGGACGAGGTACTCAATCTCAGAGTCGTCGAGAGCCAGGCCGAACTGCTTGTTGTACGACTTGAGAGTCTCAACAGCCTTTGCGGCATCGGCGTTCTGAACATCGTCACCCAGAATGTCGACAATTTCCAATGGGAATCGCTGGCCCTCAATGAACATGGCAGAAAGATCGGGGCGCGACAGGCCAATTGTCTCAGTCATACGGTCGTAGACGACATCCTTGAAGGCGATTTCATCTTCAGAGACGGGATTCTCAAAGGTGAGGGTGATGGCTCTGCCGCGCTCGATACGGTCGATGTTGTCTGCGAGACCGCAGACGTGAGTGATGCTGGTTCCCTTTGAAGACCAAGGCGAGATGTTCCGCGGGGTAATGTAGTAAGTTTTTTGGGTATCAGTGTTGGCGGCAATCTGAGCGATTGTCTGGTCGGGCAGGCCGAGCCATTTTGTCAGCTTTTGCTGGACAATGAGGTTGTTGTCACTGTTCTTGAGGTGAACGTAGTAGACCCAAATGCCGGCAACGCTGACGACCTTGTTTGACGCAGCGTCGAGCTTGTTGATGCGCGTCTTGAGCTCTTCGGCCTGCTTGGTAGTGTAGGCCTCCTGGCCAACGAGGGTAAGAAACTCCATTCTGCCTACAGTGGGCGTAGGACACGGAGAGCGGCCTTCGATCAAAAAGGAAGTCTCGCCCGGCGTTCGTGGATGTCGGGTTGGCGATAGAGATAAGTTTTTAGGCGGCGGCATCTTGTGAGTCTTCCGCTCCGAGATGGCGGGGTGATTTCGAAATTTTGGTGGGGCAGCTGCAGATAGGCGGCCGATAATGAAAATCGGAGGCGTTGGTGACTTTTTTTTTTTCCTCTCGTCGACTGGAGGCGCGGGGCACTAGACTTATTTTGTGGCGGTGGAGTGGCTCTCCCGCATTTTGCGCACTCACCGCGACAAATGTCACTGTCACTGCCTTCAAACTACAAGTGTTGCTGCTTGACAAGGTCCGCGTCCGGGAGTCAGGGGCGCATAGATCGTGGCTGGTGACCTCTTTCTATTGTGTACTCATACCCACATAGGTAAGTATCTGTTTGCCCTCCTCACTGTTGAAGTGGTGAGTGTGCCCGCTGTCGGAGCCTGTGTGCCTTCCAGGTTCTGAATTTGTTGCTGCGTGTGTGGCTGGTGCATTGGCCTGGATGTGGCTGGTGGGGTCAAGCGGAAAGAGGCGGCCCAAAATAAATCAAGACAGGCACAGATGGGAGAAGAGGCCGGTGAGGACGAACAAGAATCATCCCAGAGACGTCGTGACTAGTGCTTCACTTCTTCAACTCTCGAGACCCGTCACTGGTCGGAGCATGTGTCGAATCATGGGTCGACTTGGGATGCATGACCGAGGGCCAACCCGAGCACAGCAAGAAAGCCAGTCGTTCATGCTCAGGCCTGCCATCGCAAAATTTCCATCCGATGATGCCGAAGTCAGGTCCATCACAATTTGCAACAGTCCTCAGGTCTACCAAGACTTCTGGCAGCAAGGACAAATCTAGCGTGCCCGTCCTGTCGTAGCGCAATAGGTCATCAGGTTTGGTAGACACGAAGGTTGTATCCGTAAGGTAAGGTTGTTCAGAACTTCAGGTCGTGCGTGACCTTTCCGCTGCGAGTCCCGCTGTAAGATCGCCCAAACTTTCGGGACGCCGGGACCCTCCCACCTCTCCGTGCGAGTAGGTGGCCGTCAGCTGGCGGCACTTCATCACTTTCCTGCTCTTCCGCCCGCGTCCTCCACTCCCGCCCAGGTGCTGAACCCTGTCACTGCCACTTGGGCTCTACAGTACCTTCTCAGGTACGGAGCATTCGATTGCCGTTGAGAAAAGGGCACTCGGGACATTTGGCAAGAGGTCAAAGGCGACGTCAGCAAAAAAACAAGCAATTCGCTTCACTGGTGGGAACACTGGGAAAGCCCATACCTGTCTTGGCTTCCGAACTGATTGGCTCCCCTTATAGCAATACCCATCTTCAATTCTCCAATTTCTTAGATCGGCCTCGACAACTCTGCAATTGCCCGCCCGCCGCGCTCCGCTTCGTCACTTCTTTTCCTTTCGACGCGTCCGTCGATTCTTGGGACGAATTAATCCGGTTCCCCTTTCCTGCCAACCTCACCCAGCTTGTTTTGTGCTCCTGACTTTGCTCCATTTCGCTCCAACATCTTGCGCGCCGCAGCATTCGCATCCTCAACCGCCGCAACCATGCGCTGGTTAACGTCCTTTGCGGGCTATCTGGCCCCCATCTTCCTCATCATGTCGCCAGTTCTCTCCTATAGCGACCAAGCCCTGTCGATGCACAAGAATAAGTCCAGCGCAGGCTTCTCTCTCGACATCCCGCTGATTATGCTGGTAGCCTCTCTGTTGAAGTACGTGGAGCGCATCTACCCCGTCTCTTCCGAAGTAAGCTGACACAATTCGCATTCACGCAGGATCTTCTACTGGCCCGGCGCGCGATTCGATACTGCCTTGCTCATCCAGGCCCTCCTCATGATTGTTATGCAAGTTATCTTGCTCAAGATTGCTCTGGACCACCGCTTGCCGCCATCGGCCAAAGGAGGAGAGGCCGCGACGCCCTTCGCCAACGTTAACGACGGTCCCGTCTTTGGCGCACAAAGGCCCTACCACTTCTGGCAGTGGAGGTCACCCAAGCCGTGAGTCTCTCGCCTTGCGCAGCGCATCCCGTGCCATGACTAACAACTGCCATAGGTACTGGCAATTCCTCCTCTATCTCTTCATCGGCTTGACCGTCTGCGAACTGCTCCTCGCGCCCGTGCGACCCGTATACCAAACCTACTCGATGCTCATCGGCTACATTGGTCTCTCGGTCGAGGCGACGCTGCCCCTGCCCCAGATCTTCTCCAACTCACGATCCAAGTCTTGCAAGGGCTTCCGCTTCTCCGTGCTGGCGAGCTGGCTGATTGGTGACGCTATGAAGATGTTCTGGTTCTTCACGTCGACGACGGAGATCCCCTGGGCTTTTAAGCTGTGCGGCATGTTCCAGGCCGGATGCGACTCGTTCCTCGGTGTCCAGTATCTCATGTACGGAGATGGCGAGAAGGGTGAGATCAAGGAGCACCCCATGTCCCAGTATCCTCAGTACCCTAACGGGGTCTACAAGCCTCCTTTGCCCGAGCACGTCAGTGGCAGGTCCAGTCCAGCCGGCCGAAGAACCTCTAGCCCCTTTGGCAAGGAATTACGATAAATCGCAGTCATCTCGAGTGCCTGCTCTTCCGATGTACGATGGTTATTTGGGTTCACGATCTACCGATATGTACGCATACGTCCCGCATAGCAGCGTTGTAAATTCTGCGAAATGTTGTAAAAAGATATGGGAGAGATAGCTTAGACAGGGATTAGAAAAGGAGTTTCAGGGGCCAACAACCTAGGGCCAATGGTAATTGCCGTGGGACTGCAGGGGTTTGATGAGCGAACGAGAGCGCAATCTTCTCTAGATGGTGGCCAACGTCGTTATCTAGCGTTAGTGAGTACTTTACTGGCTGGTTTTCAAGATGGCGTTTGGCATCATGAATGGCGTAGGAAATGTTGTTCTGGGTGACGCACATTCATCTGGATACCCAAGTTCTTATATACATGCTTCGGAATTTTATTTGCATTTATTTTGGTTTGCTGAACAAGTAGTAAACCTGGTGATCAAGTCGTTCCTTAACTGAGTCTCACCAAACATCGCCAACACCCAGGAGTTGCAGAGGCTCCCAACCACCCACTTTTCGAGTTGGCCACCCAACTGACGACTGCCGTACCACACCATTATCGTCAAATCCAATCTGAAGACGATTGACAACTCGAAGAGCTGAAGTCCAACATTGACTCCTACTAAACAATCAAGCAAGTAAACGCTCACTTCTAATCTTATTTTTCATTTTCTCACCCTTTCAATTTTTATATACCACGCCATATCGCCAGTTCTTTTGTCTGCCTTATATTCCATCCCACTATTTACTCCTTCACCCGGCCAACCAGCAGGGAATTTCCTAAATCGTCGAAGCAATTCCCCGGGTACCAAAATCGTCGTTAGAGCAATCCGCAACTCGACATATCGGTTTTAAAAAAGAACTCGGGGCCTTGCCGGACGGTCTGTCAACTTGCATTCTAAGCTAGTCTAAGGAGAGCTCCGTCGCCGCGCCTCGCGCATCAGCAGCATTCATCCCAGTTCGGTTTCTGGTCTAGTGCTTGGGTGTTCCTTGTACTGCACGAAGAGCAGTCAGACCTGAGATCTCATTGAGATTTTCTACGTCGAGATCTGGCTGCTTCGCGGCTTGTTATTCGGGTGGACAAAGAGCTCGGCTGGTCTGCGCCAGGCTGGAGAGTTGGATGGGCCTTTACTCAAGGTAAGCAAGTGCAGTGTATTTATTCCCTACTGTCCAGAGATTGCCAAGAGACGAGTGCTCTAGAACAAATGTGGTACTCCCGCTTTGGATTCTTACCAGTCCATTTGATGGACCTTCGCTCTATTGAAAGTTGCGAGAAGTAGTATGATGGCCTTGCTTTGGACTCTGCTCCATGCCAGCGCTGGTCTGGAAGCCTGCTTTTCCGGTTTCCGTCTTAGACACATGTCAGTCATGGAAGGAGAATAGAGGACTTGGGACAGCTTCACCAAGAAGCGCCTCGCTTCTCGCGTGACGCTATTGTCGTTACCTACATAGAAGCACCCTCTCCTTCTCGCTCTATCCCACGCGTTGCTACTGCCTATAGCAGCACTACTTACCAACCTCCTTCAAGCATTCCTTCCTGTGAGCTGCATTTGGTCCTCCAGGATTTACACTCAGACAATATCCATCTCTTTCACCTTCCTTGACTTTCATCCTCACATATTTCAATACGCTTTGGTTAACTGGCTGACCTGTTAAGCCCGAATCCCGCCTTGACCATCCCACCTGGTAGACACGCAACTGCGGAACCTCCTTCCTCGTGTAAGTCAAAACGCTTGAGCCGCTCTTTCCCCATTAGGCTCGTCACCGCCTTCCCGCACTTCAGAGCAGCACATCCTTCCATTCTATGAGCGCAACCTTACTCTTCTTCCCTTGCCTCACTCGAACCCATCTATTCACGATCTCTCCTCTTCACCTCACACTCGGTGCCAAAAGCTGACATCTACACACACTCCAGAGGCACACAGCACGCTGCCTACCACACTTTTCGAGAGACTACATCAAAAAAGCCGTCGTACTCAGTAAGTTTACCAATTTATCACTTAAGGCTCCTCTCTGTTTCCAATCTTTGGAAAAAGTGCAAGAAAATTGTTGCCTGCCGCAATTGCCTGTCCACCTTTTCTTACCACTTTATTTTCCTTCTTTCCATCTGAGCTCCTTCTCCTTCCCGCACTCACCCACCTCCGCACTACCTACTTCACTTTATCCCTCGACAAGTACCGGGCTTCTACCTTCTACACCACAGCACAACACTCTCAACATCCACCCAGACCTAATCCTTCCATCTTAGGTCACTCACAAACAGAAAGTCTGCCATCACTAATAGGTATATAATCACCGAGTCGCCACTGATCACCTCTTCCACTACGCCATATTCTTTTCTCTTCTCTCTATGACCCTTCCGTCGACCAAATACTAATCCGTCGATTCCAGAGATCACAGACCAAGATGGCTCCTGCCAACTTCAAGACCTACGAGTCTCAGGCTCGACTGCTTCGCGCCATCGTGGCCGCCCACTCCGATGTCAAATGGAACTACAAGGGTAAGAACTACGCGTGTTTCCTCTCTTTCCGGTCAGCCCCATTCTCGTTCTTCGTCTGTCTCGGTTTTCCTTCTGCTTTTCACCGTGGTCGACGTCATTTCTGACGTACGGCAGATATCCAGAAGTTCTACGGTTCGGATATGACCAAGGACGCTCTCAACCATCGGTTCAGAGCCCTTAGAAATCAAGGATATGTGCTTCGGGAAGCCGATGAGCAGGGTGTGGATTGCAAGGCCATCCCCGTGGATCTTCCCAAGGAGAAGAAGGGTAACCACCGCCTCTGCTTCTACATTGATTTCCTCGCTTTCACCCATCACAGTTTCCTGGCCGAACTTTCCTTCGATACATTGCTCGACTTCGCTGTCTCTTTACTACGACTTTGACAGGAAGTATACTGACATGAGAGAATAGAGATTGCCAAGTTCTTCGGCGAATCCACTGCCGACGGCATCCAGTTCCAGTTCCGTGGCATTAAGAAGGACGCCGAGTCCCTTAAGCAGACTGCCAACAGTGGTGGTAACCCCGCCTCTGTCCTGACTTTCACCGGCGGTACTGGCAGCAACGTCTCGACTCCTCGGAAGCCCCGAACCCCGTCTGGTGCTAAGGTTCGCGCCTCGGGTGGTGGTCGTTCTACCACAGCCAAGAAGACCATTCCGATCAAGACTGATCCCATGTCTGACGATGATGAGGAGGGTAGTGATGCCGTCGACTATAACGCGCTCGAGGACACTCCCTCTAAGACTCGCGTCCACAATGTTCTCGACGGCCGTGTGACTAAGAACCGAGCCACTCCTCGTCGCAGCGCAACGCCGAGCCGCGCCGCTACTATCGCTGCGGCTGCCGTCGATCTCACCACCTCCGATAGTGAGGTAGACACCCCCAACAACGCTTCGGGCTACGAGCTTCCTCCCATCGCCGAGGCCAAGCCTGCTGCCGTTCAGCGTCCGTCCTTTGAGGAGGCCGTTACTCAGCATCAGACCATCATTCAGCCCAACGCCATGGCTAGCTTCACCGGAAACGACAGCTTCTCGCAGTCGATGGATGCAGCTATCTTCAATCCCATCAACAACATGAATGATGAGCTCAACTTCAGTTTCGCCGAGAGCATGGTCAACTCCAACGGCGGCTACGACTCTTCCTTCATGGGAGCCGACGGAGAGATCTGAGCTGACTTTACATTGGTGTGGCGAAGAAAGACCTAGGACACGGAGTATCCCGTAGTCTGCTTTCTTTTGCCGCTTTTCTGAACTTTTTCCACGTCGTGGCATTGATAACTCCCCTTTACGGACTGGGATTTTGGCGTTGGGCTTGGACTATTTCCTTCATCCTGGATGGATATCAACCACGGGTAGCATGTACAAAACAAAACGAAGGATACCGAAGTGGGATTTTCCCTATGCTTGTAGATAGATGGATCTTTTCTCTCCGAGCTCGCAGAGCTGTAGTGCGTGGAACAGACACTCAATGAGATACCAAGGCACTAGGCCGACTTGATTTGCACATCTCGGCATCGTGTTTCATCCGTGACTACACACTTTGCAGTGATGGTTGCCATAAGTCCATGGCACATTTTCATCTCAGTACCGGTATCCCAAAGATTGGGTTCCGACAATCACCTCACGGTGTCTATTGCAGTCATCTCTAGATCCCTAGCATGATCGGCCGCATTTCACAATGTATCGACTTAAATTTCAAGGCAAGAATTGACGGGTATCTCCTCTTTCACTCATAGCTAGGGGTAATCGCAACTATATAGAAGGACGAAGTCCTTTTGCACTCCGCTATTTTTTCCCTTTGCCTTTCTCATTTTCTCCAATTTTTTTTCCTTTTAGTATCCTGAATACGTTAAGCCTCCTCAGTTCTCCTTCTCACCCGACAACAACTTCCACAGCGCATCCCTCTCGACGTAGTCGTGGTGAATGATGTTGACGAGCCAGTACTCGGAGCCTATCCGCTCCAGCAGCGCCTCGCTCTCGCTGCCCTTGCCGTAGACCTTGGCCCACTCGCCCCAGATCTTGAAGGCCTCCTCGGCCCAGGCGCGGAAGCTGACCTCCTCGATGATGGTCGGGGTGATGATCTCCTTGCCGGGGAAGACGCCCCACGTAACGGCGTTCGTGCTCGCCTCCGTGCCCTCGAGGACGAGGCCGCCGCTCGCGTCCGAGGAGACAAAGTCGCCGGCGCCGTTGGCGGCGTAGAAGCAGATTGTGTTGTCCTTTACCTCGTTGAGGCGGGCGACGAGGCCGGCCCAGTCCGAGGAAGGGATGAAGAGCTCGACAAAGGCCTTTTGGAAGACGAAGCCGTGCTGGGGGCCCCAGCCGAAGGTCGGATCGCGGGAGGGGATGCCGTTGACGGCGGGCTGGGAGGCGACGGTCCACCAGCCGCGGGTGTTGAGCTCGAGGAGTTCCTGCTGGATGATGTTGGATTCGGGGAGGAGCTCCTCCTCGGACCAGGGGATGGCAGCGAGCTGGCCCTTGATGTGGCGGATGAAGAGGTTGTTGATGTCCTGGACCGTCTTGGGGGTGCCCCAGAGGCGCATGGCCTGCGTCACGGACATGTGCAGGCTGACGCCGTAGCCGTCGATCTCACCGTAGGCGGGGGAGCGGGCGTCACCCCAGCGGCCGTTGGGGAAGTCGTCCCACGTCGCCTCGCGGCCTACTGCGCCGACGCCCTCGGAGATGGCGAGGGTGTTTGCGCGGGTGTTGACGGGCTCCGAGACCATGAGGCCGGCGGTCGTGGTCTCGTATGCGGGATTCGAAGCTGAGCCGGAGACGATGATGCGGTTGTGCGGGTCTGAGCCCATTGAAGATGGCCGTCGACCATTGGAGAGGGTGCGGGTGGCCGGGTGAGGTATGGGGGACAGGCCGTTGAGCTGGACTGCGGGGACGGCAACGGGGACGGGAATGCCCGGGCCATCGTCGATGATAGCTTCTTCGTCCTCGAGCTTGGGGTCAGGGATGAGGCCCGTCCGTTCGAGGATGAAGGACACGGCCTTTTCGAGGTTGAGGGTGTAGAAGTGGAAGCCCTTGGGGCCGGGCGTCCTGCTCTTCACCTCCTTGACCTGCTCGACGAGCTCGCTGAGGATGTCGACACCGACCTGCTTGACCTTCTCGTCGTCACCCTTGGCCGCGTCCAGTCGGGCCATGAGGTTGTCGGGGATCTTGGCGTGGCTGAGCTTGGTCGTCCGCTTGATCATCTGGTAGCTCTGAATAGGCATTAAGCCGGGGAGGAGGATGATGTCCTTGAAGGCACCGCTGGGGTGTTCTTTCAAGATTTTTTCAAAGTTTTCGTACGCCTTGATATCGAAGAAGAGCTGGGTCATGATGAAATCCGCACCGGCCTGGACCTTGTCAACCAGGTATGGGAGGTCGTGCTCGAAGCTCTGTCCCTGAGGATGACTCTCATCTGCGTGTCCCTCTGGGTAGGCTGCGACTCCTATGCAGAAGTAGTCGCCGTAGTTCTTGCGAATGTACTTGACCAGGTCGACGGCCCAGACGAAATCCTCGGCATCATCGGTCTCAGAGTCCTCGGTGTCGCGGTACTCGTTCTTCCGCGGCGGGTCGCCTCGCAGGGCGAGAATATTGCGGATACCTAGGGCCTTTGCGTCCTCCAGGGCCTTGTCGATGAGCTTGCGACTCATGTTTGTGCATGTCAGATGAAGACAGGTGGTGAGGCCCAGTTCTCTCTGGCATATCTCGGCCAGTTCAAGAGACTTTGTCGAGGTAGATCCGCCGGCCCCCCAGGTGACGTTGACGAAGAGAGGCCTCAACGCCCTTTCCATTCTGTCCAGACGGTCGCGCAGGTTAGAAAGACCCATGGCAGTTTTGGGCGGGAAGAACTCCAAGGAGAAGTAGTTGGCGTCTGCCGGCAGAGCGGCGATCTTGTCCGTGATCTTCTCCATCTTGAGGGCGACGAGTTGAAGCTCGTTATACTAGAAAGGATGCTTGAGATGAAATGTTATAGGTTCAATGCGTTTTCCTCCTTGATTGTGCGTTGAGTAAAAAGACTACTCGGCGTTTAAGGCCGTTTGAGATTCCTTTGTCGATATCAGACCGCCGCGGAGGGGCAGGGCGGGGGACGAGTCTTGGAATTTGATACCGCCAGGTAGCGTGAATAGCTTGGGGATGAGGAATGAGGGAATGAGCAAAGGGGTTACAGAAGACTCAATCGAACAGAGCTCCTTGTCTCAGCAGACAGGATGTGACGTGATTGGCTTGCTTGCGCTGTCGTCATTCCCCTAGAATAAATTGGATGTGCACCCACGAAGATATTCAAAGACGCGGGACATTGAAAATGATTTTGGCGGGGCATTTTCTTTTGGGAGATAGCAGCCCGCACTGTACCACCGACTTCGGATGATGCGACCAAGGTGCGGCTAGGCGCGGTATACACAGTGTTAGTAGCTGCGTAAACGGTTTTTAGTTATTCCGCCGCCCCCTTCTTTCTGCCATCTGTTGCCCTTGGAGAAACCCTTTCTTTGTTGACAACCTCAATGCACCAGCTTAATGGTTCCGACAAGTCGCCCTTGACATGTTCTCCCATTCTACCTTGCCCAGAGTGAAGTAAGAACTGCAATACATCACAAAATCCAAACACTGATTCCCCAATCACGACAGAGCCCCGTACCATGGTGTTGGTCCAGCACTGTACCACCTTCCTTCACAGATGATATGTCCCAGGGGTGTGCGGAACAAATGACGTTCCCCTGCAGGGCCACCTGCCAGTCTGCCACTAAAATTCCGCAGGGTAGGGGCGGAGATGCAGGGGTCCAGAGAGCTCTCCGTTTTTGATGGAGCTGCACGGCAGCTGCAAACGCGACCACTGCTTTCTTCGCTTCAACCCGCGATAGCGTGACGCCGTTGCATGACTCTAAATTTGCTGCATTTTCCTTCCTCCACCAACGACCACTACCGACCTACCTTTATCTGCCTGACGACCATGACAACATCGTACCAATGCAATTGATACACGCAAAACATGTTGGCCGCCTTTGGTCCACTCGGTCCATCGCGACCTTGGCGAAGAACATTCGACCATCCCAAGCACTAGTAGCTACTCGACAGCCTCCGTCTTTCGCAAGCCCGTACTTAGCCCAAGCGACGCAACGACGGAGCTATGCTGATATCAAGCTCGACTTTACCGCTCTCGACAAGAAGTGGCGCCAGAAATGGGACGCTTCGAAAGCTTCTACGGCAAATGATGACTCAAGCAAGCCGAATCAATTCGTCCTTCCAATGTTCCCATACCCCTCCGGTACCTTGCACCTCGGCCACCTGCGCGTATACACGATTGCCGACGTTCTCGCTCGCTATCACACCATGAAGGGGTCTCGCGTGATGCTGCCAATGGGATGGGACGCATTTGGTCTTCCGGCCGAAAATGCTGCCATCGATCGTGGAATCGCGCCTGCAACTTGGACCAAGACCAACATTGCCAAGATGAAGGAACAACTGGAGGTTATGAATGGCAGCTGGGACTGGGAGAGGGTTTGTTTCCTAGCTCGCCATCTCTACTCTGGCTGACATGATGTCTCTCAGGAACTGACTACCTGCGACCCGGACTTCTACAAACACACCCAAAAGATCTTCTTAATGATGCTCGAACGTGGCCTCGCCTACCAAACCGAAGCAGAGGTCAACTATGATCCTGTAGATATGACAGTCCTCGCCAACGAACAAGTTGACGCAAATGGATGTTCTTGGAGATCCGGTGCCAAGGTTGAGAAGCGCCAGCTGAAGCAGTGGTTCTTCCGCATCTCCGAGTTCAGGGAAGCATTGCTGAAGGATTTGGATGCGCTTGCCAAGAATGAGGCTTGGCCCGAGAGGGTCTTGGCCATGCAGAAGAACTGGCTCGGAAAATCGACTGGCGCCGTCATCAAGTTCCCAGTCATGGCCATGGGCCAAGATGTCCACGCAACTATCGAGGTCTTCACGACGCGACCGGATACCTTGTTTGGAGCTCAGTATCTCGCCCTCGCCTCTACCCACCCGATCGTTACATCATTAGCAAAGGCAGACCCTGAGCTCCAAGCTTACTTAGATACTCTACCCGCATTGCCTAAAGACTCCAAGGTCGGTTATATGCTGCCGCACGTAAGGGCTGTCAACCCGCTGGCATATCACGAGCAGACTCCCGACGACACCAAGAAATCCATTCCGGTGTATGTTGCGCCGTATGTTCTCGGCGACTACGGCGAAGGCGCTGTGATGGGTGTTCCTGGTCACGATCTACGGGATAATGCTTTCTGGAAGGAGCATCACTATGATGAGCCCGTGAGATTCGTACTGGCGGCTTCGGAAGACGAGTCGACTTCCGCAATTGCGAACGAGCCTTTCGTGGAGCATGGTGTCATGACTGCAAACAGCGGTCCTTTCAAGGGTAAATCCTCCACCGAGGCTGGCCGGATGCTTGTTGGCATACTGGAGGCAGCAGACTTGGCCAAGCCGGTCGAGAAATGGAGATTGAGAGACTGGTTGATCAGCCGTCAAAGATACTGGGGAACGCCTATCCCTGTCATCCACTGTGGCTCCTGTGGCCCAGTACCTGTTCCAGACGATCAGCTGCCGGTCACATTGCCCGACGTCAGCCATCACTGGACAGATGGGAAGGTTGGCAACCCGTTGGAGAGAGCCGAGGATTGGGTAAACACTAGCTGCCCTAAATGTGGCGGTCATGCAAAGCGTGATACCGATACCATGGATACCTTCGTCGACTCGAGTTGGTATTACGCGCGTTTTGCGGATCCTCACAACACATCACAGCCTCTCTCCCTTGAGGCAGCAAAGTCGCTGCCGGTGGACCTTTACATAGGCGGCATTGAGCATGCCATCTTGCATCTCCTATATGCCAGGTTTATCTACAAGTTCTTGGCCACGACAGAACTGTTCCCTGCTTCTGGTGAAGCTGACACGGTCCACGAACCATTCAAGAGACTTGTCACCCAGGGCATGGTGCACGGCAAGACGTACACCGACCCCACGTCAGGGAAGTTCCTGAAGCCAGATGAGGTTGACTTGGAGGATCCTGCCAACCCTACAGTTGTGGCAACGGGGGCCACAGCAAATGTGTCGTTTGAGAAAATGTCCAAGTCCAAGTACAACGGAGTGGACCCGACCGAGTTCATATCCAAGTACGGCGCCGATGCGACCCGAGCTCACGTTCTCTTCCAAGCGCCTGTGGGCGACATCCTTAACTGGGACGAGGACAAAATCGCCGGAGTCACGCGTTGGCTGCATAGGCTTCATGACCATGCAGCCAAACTTCAGGAGTTATCAGCCGAGGAAAAGCCCATTGTGGCTTACCTTGAAGAGCGCTCAAACAGCTTGTCTTCTCTCGGCGATAAGGAACTGGCTGTCTGGGATGCTGATGCTGCCATTTGGAGAGCAGTTCAAGGAACAATTGGTTCCATTACCCAGTCCTACGAGACTGTTTATCCGATGAACACCATTATTTCGGACCTTATGAGTCTGACCAATACCCTTCAGGAGAACACTGGAGCGAGCTCACTTGTCCAAAGGGAAGCGATGTCCGTTCTCCTTCGGATGATGGCTCCAGTTGCACCAGCATTTTCCGAGGAGTGCTGGAGTCTCTTGCATCCCGAGTCCGGTTCCATCTTTGATGACACCACTTTCCCTACGCAAGACAACACATTGTCCCTGTTGAAGCCGCGTAAGCAGCCAGTGGCTATCCAAATCAACGGAAAGCTGCGCGGTGTTGTAGAAGTTCCCAACCCCCCTTCTGGTCTGGAGGGTGAGGCTTTGCGCGACTGGATGGTCGCGGAGGTTCTCAAGTCTGACGAGGGCAAGGCCAAGTTTACTGGAGGTCAGTTCGATGTCACTACCCCAAGAAGAGTTATCTTGGCTCGTGGCGGCAAGACAATCAACTTTGTAGTCTAGAGGTGTAAAAATATGTGAGATACCCGGTGGTTTGTACAACATAGAAGCCTAAACAAAAAAGAAATCAACATCACTCGTCAAAACAACAACATTCACTGAACTTGTCTGCAATGCTCGGTGTTGAGGCCGTCTTGGGTATACGTCAACATTCGCAACGAAACATCCGCACTGATATCTCAAGGAACGGACTGGCAACTCAGAAGCCTACTTAAAACCCTGAGACTTTGCGGCTTTCAAAGCACAATCAAGTGCGGTGGTTGATCTAAATTCTACGCTCTCAACTAACTCCTGCTTTCTGCTCGTTGCGCATTGCAATACCTCAAAGTACCACTTTGAAACTCCCCATATGCGCCTTTTATGCCGTGTAAGTATGGATCTCTATTATCTTTTCGTCTCTTCATTTCTTTCATGCGATCTTTGTAACAACCAACTCGCCCTCACTGCCCTCGACTTCTAGAAATGATCCAGTCTCGAGCTTCTTCTTCCACTTGCCACTCTCGTACCGTCCCAGAATCATCGTCATTCGCAGCAAGGCCCCTTCGCTGGAAGCATGCTCAGCGCCGCCTTCTGCGATGGGCGTGAAAGTCCACCGACCAAAGGCCCAGTTGAGAATGTACCGAGATTTTGGGTACGGGGGCGTAGGAATTTGAGAGTCCTCGTCCGAGTCCCTCACCGTCGACGACGCGGTCAGGACGGCCTTTATGCGATATACTTCGTCCTTTGGCGCGGCGCGCAAGAGCTTCTGCAGGCTGTCTGCGTTGACAGCGGCGTCCTTGGGGCCTTTGAGTTCGATGGAAAGTACCTCGACCTCGGTCTGGTGGTCGTGCGCGTGGTCCTCCCCCTTGTGATCGTGATCATGTGTATGCTCCTCCTTGAGGCCCTGCGCGAGACCGCCATCCACGCCGAACACGAGGTCAGCGCCGACCCAGCCCTTTTTGCTCTTGACCCAGGGGATATCCACCTCGAGGTCGCCCACCCGGTCGAGGACCTCGTCGAAGCGGTCCTCGGAGCACAGCTCCCACTTGTTGAAGACGATCAAGTCGGTGTACTTTGCCTGGATGCGCGCCGTGTAGCTCGTGTCCTCGTAGCCCTTCCAGTTCTCCGTGTCAATGACGCTGATGACGCCGTCGAGGGTATAGTTGCCCGTCTCGCGCGCGAGGCGGTTGACCTCGAGGGCCAGCGTCGCGGGGAAAGCCGAGCCGCTCGTCTCGATGACGATGCGGTCCGGGCGGACGGTGGCGTGCAGCTCGGCGAGGGCGACGCTGAGCTGGCCGACGAGGTTGCAGCAGATGCAGCCGTTGAGGAGCTCCTGGACGCCCGAGATGGCGCTGGAGGAGGCCAGCTGGGAGTCGACGGCCAGATCGCCGAATTCGTTCTTGAGGAGGGCGAGCTTATAGGAGGGGTTCGCGGCCTTGAGCTGGGGGAGGAGGTTGAGGATCAGCGTCGTCTTGCCGGAGCCGAGGAAACCGGTGATGATTGTGATTGGAATGGGCGCCATGATTGGCAAAAGAAGAAAAAGTCGCAAAGTGCGCGCGCGCGGGTGTCGGTAAACTCTGTTAAATTCGAAGAACTGTGCACAGAAAGGTTAGGAGAATGACAGCTGGTAAACTTTTGGAATTTGATGTCTGTATTGCCTTACATCAGATCAGATCACCGCTCAGTTTTTTTTTTTTGGTTGAGGAAAATGGCGCCGCCGCTCGGAAGCGGGTTGTCGCGTGGTGGTGGGATGGAGGGGTCGCAGAGCGCCGGGACAGTCCGATAAGCAGCCTGTGTCCGATAAGAGCCGATAAGGTAAGGAGTGTTTTCTGACTGGGGATTTTAAGGTTATCTTAGCGGGCAGCCAAGGGAACTGCAGTGCCGAGCTAGGCGGTTTGACGTCATAGGCCCCAGTTTGCGGGTGGCTCACACCATCTTTCCTGCATCACATCGACAGCACCCAAGCAAACCATGGCAAGCACGGCAGGCACCAGATCAGCCGTCCTCCCCGAAAATCGACTTGAATCGCACCAATTCTCCAACCAAAACCTGGAGGAAAAGGTCCTGTCCCCCGCCCAGACTTATGCGATCATAGCCTGGAGCTGGGACGCGCGGTCACCGTCTGTCCCCTCCCTCGGCCCAATCCTTGCTTTGCTGCATTCAGGTCCAGCCAAGTCCATCCCAGCGGCCCCATACCTACACCTCAGCCCGCGCAAAACCGTATGCCACGTTTGGATCCTGGCCTGCCTTACCGTATTACTTGAAGTAACCCCCTTCCCCAGCTCCTCCAGCCCTGTCGGGCTATTTTCTCCTTCCATCTCACATTCTAGTCTATCAATGCCTGTTGCTCCGCCACACTCGAGAAACTCAATTTGACTTCACAAGAAACTCAGGACCCTTATTCAACACCATCGCCCTACTGTCACTATCGTCTCTCTTCTCCGCGGCCCATCTGATATCGCAAATCGATCCACCGTCTCAGCCCTACCACGTTGACGACCACACCATCATCGCATCCGAATCCCCTTCCCACCTATCACCCGACACCAATCAACTAAGTCTCAGCACAGCCACCCATCATGTCCGCCGAACCCAACAGCAAGTTCGCGCCTGAGCCTCAGATCACGCACAAAGGCCGCGAGTTGAGCTTCAAGCAGAAGCTGGATCAAGCGGCTCACGACGCCCGTAAATCCGAAGAAGAGCCCAAGCAGAACCCTATTGTCGAAAAAGGTTGGTCAAGCATCACCACCCATCCATCCTGCCTTGCAATCATGTCAAAACACATCACAGCAGTTCCAACAACCTCTATAATTTCCACCGCATAACCCTCACCATCCAGCCCAGCCCAGCTCCATTCTAGCCACTAGCCACTTCAACCCCCCCTTGGTCTTTCCTCCATCCAATATGTCGAGAATACGTGTAGCTCATCAAAGACCAAATTTCCACAAAAAAAAGTGACACAGTACATTCCAGCCGCCGCCAAGATCCTCGGTAACCCGCAGGAGGAGAAGGAGGAAAAGATTTCGCGTCCGGGAATTCCAGGACCACCCGAACGGCCGTACGACGACGTCCAGGTGGAGGAATTCATCCGCCAGCAGCACCGTAGCAAGGGAGAAGACGGCATTCTTCAATGAGAAGACGAAGCGCGACCAGAAACAACGCCACCAAGAATTTAGCTGTGGCAGAGACCCAAAGCAAAAGGACAGCACCACTAAAGAAAGCCTGGATACACACAAGTCGTTTGATTGAAATTGGGCGGCGTTTTTCTTTGGTATTTCAATCATCCTCAGTCATTTGTCTTTTACGGAAGCCTTCACGACGAAATGAAAGCTGGCTTGAAGTTGGCACTCGCCTTTTCTTGTCCTACCACACTTTTTTTACCCCTCGCAACGTCATCCCATAGCGCGATTCTGTCAACAGGCTTGGCGGTGATCAAAGCGCGGGGAATCCAACTACCCAGCATCCAACTTCACCACATCAAGAGAGAGATGGAGAAAAGGGGACCATAGCAAAACACCCAAAAGGGAAAAGCCTGTATTCGTACTTCAATCTAAAAAACACAACAAACAACGTTATTGATTCAAAATAATATCGCAACACCTTAGGGCCCTTTGTCCACCTATGTCAACTCCGCTGTGGGCAGCAGTAGCCCACAAATGCCGCCAATTAGTAAAAAACAAAATGACAACTTTCTTTCATGTATGAGAGAAATCGAGGAAAACTCCCGGGAATTGTAGCCAAAAAGGGGTTTACACAGAAACAAGGATCCAAAATACCCGTATTTCCAATTTGAACCCCTTTCTCCGTGAAACCCCCTTCTTATTTCCTTTTTCCCTCCTCTTTTGATCTTTGGGGACGCGAGCACACGGCGTTTGTGAATGGGGAGATGCCATGATTGGAAAGAAGACTAGAGAGTAGTAGTCGTCTTAAGCAAAGATGGTAAGGCCGGCAGCCATTGCGATACCGCAAAGGAGGCCGAGGCTCTTCTTGAGAGACGGTGCCGAGGCGACCTGGACTGTGGACGGCTTGGAGCCGGAAGCACCACCCGTAGCGGTTGAGCCAGAGGCACCGCCACCAGAGCCGCCAGCGCCAGACGCACCGGGAGCGCCGCCAGCACCGCCAGCACCACCGGAAGAGCCGCCGGTGCCGGGAGCACCAGATGCGCCAGGGGCACCAGGAGCGCCAGACTGAGCGGGGGTTCCACCGGGTGCACCACCGGCACCGGGAGCGCCAGACGCACCGGGGGCACCGCCGGCACCAGGAGCTCCGGAAGCGCCAGGGGCACCACCAGCGCCAGGGGCACCGGACTGACCGGGCTGGGCAGGGGAGCCGCCACCGGGGGCAGCGTTGTTGTAAGAGCCGTAGCTGCCGTAGACACCGTAGCTTCCGGCGCCCTGGCTGCCAGAGGGAGCAGCGCCGTTGGCGCCACCGCCGTTACCTCCAGCACCGCCGCCAGGGGTGGAGCCACCGTTGTTGGAGCCACCGCCGTTCTGGCCGCCTCCGTTGTTGTTGTTGTTGGCTCCGCCTCCGTTGCCGGTACCCTGGCCGTTGCCGTTGCTGTAGGAGCCGTAGGAGCCGTAGACGCCGTAGGGGGCGGCGGTGATGACGGGGTTGGCGTTCATGGTGACACCGTTGCCGTTGATGACGACGTTGGCGGTGGGCGTCGGGATGGGGCAGATGATGGGGATGGTCTTTTGGGCGCAGGGCTCGCAGTAGACGGTGGTGGGGGCGAAGCAAGGGGGGATGTCCTTGGTCACGTACTCCCACGGCTGGCCGGTGCAGACTTCGGTCACTGTGTAAGTGGCCATCCACGACGTGGAGGGGTTGGCGGCGAGAGCCGTTGTCGTGTACACGGTGGTGTAGACATTGGTGGTTGCGGTGGCGGTGACCGTGACTGCCGGGTCGCAGGTGAAGAAGGCCGAGGTGGTGAGGGCTCCGGAACTGAGGGTTATGTCAGTAAGTCTATTTTATACGAGAGGTGATGGTGATGTATCAAAAAAGAGGATAGTGTTCTCACCTCATCTTGACTGTTGTTTAGTACTAGCTTGGGGGTGAAGAGTTGATTAAGCGTATATGGTTTGAGGGTTTGATATTAGTTGTATGGGCGAGTGAGGGATTAGATTGAGCTGTACGGAACGAGCGACAGACAGGTTATCCTGGAATTACGGAACGAATGTGAGGGGACAGAGTCCAACGAATGACTGGGTGAAGCGGGAGTTCTTCTGGGGGGGAAGACCGGGGGACGGGGGGGAGGAGAGAGAGAACTGGGGAACGAAAGGGCTAATCCAAGAGTTTCCTTCATCACGGCCGGCCTCTTCGTCTTATAGGGAGAGACCAGCAACAGTCAGGAGCACGGCAAAAGAACGAGCCAAGAACCAAGAAGGGGGTTAGCTGGAACACTCACTGGCCTGGCGGGCCCCTGGGTACGTTGTCCCTCCTCGACTGGCTGTACGGAGTATGAAAGCAAGCATCTTGGTGGGAATGCCGGGACATTGCGGCACATTCCTCAGTGCCCGGGTCCGGACGACGATGGTCCCCTTGGTAGGAGCCGTTGACATCAGACATGTCCTTTCCATCCTGCGCGAGAGGCAAAGCATGCGGTAATATCCACCTTTGAGGGCCGGAGTGGATGCTAGAGGTGGTGCGGCTGATCCGAGAAGTCGGATTGAGGATAACCATCTTCCAATTCCTTGGTGTTGCTTGATTGCTAGAGGTGGGGATACTATCACCCGCTTGGCAACGACGACAGACGAAAAGAGGCAAGGGCACATATTGTGTTTGCCGGGATCAGAGACTCAGACGGGTGCCGGGGCGTTGACGCGCAGCAGCATTGCTCGGGGAGCATGGCCAAGAATGCAGCCAGGGGCCAAGACATGTGGCATGGTTACACCTCAACGGAAGGAAAAGAGTGGACGGGGAGGAGAGAGAGAGAGAGAGCGAGGAAGAGGGCCTATGGGGAACGCTTTCAACCGTCTGTCGTCTCGTCTTCAAAAACCAAGACACGTGCAAATTCGGGACTAACAGTCTAGAACCCAAACCGCTGTTTTCTCGTGCCTGGATCCTTCTCCCTTGTACCTGAGGCTCTCACGGCTGTGTCTCGTCCTCTTGGGATTTCGATCGACCCTCACGGCAACAGCACTGGGAATGGAAGGAACCAGGAGGGACGGAGGCTCCCTTACGGCAGGAACTCCTACACCAGAGGATCCACCTTTCTTCTCTTCATGGTTCGCTGAGGAGTATCTTAGGTAAGGTACGAAGTGCCGGCCATGCTGACTGCACCTTCCTTTCCTCTTCAACCCCAAAATGACGAGAGGTGCCGTTGGCATGCTCTCTGCCTTCCACCACTTTCATACAAAGTTTGAATCCAGCTACGGCACGTAGGGAATGGCAATCATGGCATCAATCCAGTCTAGCCATTCGGCATGGCGTCAACTTAGGTAGACAGGGGATGAGGCTCGGGACATTCTCTCATCACTTGCCGGCGCCGTTCCTGGCTACCCAACGTAGGAGCGAAGGTCAGAGGGTCGGCACTTTCCTCCAAACCGTCATATCTCGTCCATTCGCAAACGGAAGTCCAGTCCACGGCTAGGAGGCAGTGAGCGGCTATCCGGGTTCCTGGCACCGCAGGTCTCACTTTTTCAAAGATAGCGTCGGTTTTTCCTTTCGACAATCAGAGCGAACACGAAGCGTGGACAAGAATTTTTACGACCCATGCCCGTTTCGAGAATTTGGCATGTCCCCCATCAACAGCATCCCTCACCCACCGCCCGTGAAATGGGCCTGGGGAGAGACTTCCTATAATCCAGGGAATTTTAATCTGCAGAGCGATCCAACTCCGAAGAGAGGAAAAGGCAACGCGACACCGTGAGAAAAGACTGGGTGTAGGTCGTGGCAGCTCTGGGTTACTTTTTGATCTAAGGAAAAGAAAAAGAAGAAGAAAGAGAGAAAGAATTTTCGCAGCGAGCCGCCCTTTTGAAGCTGCTGGAATTCGGCGCTAGGCCCTTCTGGGGACCCGACCCATCGGTCCTACCGTGCAGGGCGCATGCTAGTTCACTGTTCGTTGGCACTGTACGACACTGCAGAGATTTCTGCGAAATCCACAGTGTCCACTTGGGTTGTATGGGCCGCGCTCTTCAAAGTTCAACCTAACCTTCACCGTTCCGGTGTTACCATCACCACGTTGATCACGCATGCTCAGGAATAAGATTATCATTCAATCCCGTCTAGTCTAACCAGTCGAGGAAAACCATCATACCAGAGAAACTAGGAAACTCCATTGCCACGCGGAATGACACCGAAAACATCAAAAGCCAAGATTGTTGGACTCCACGGGCTCGACTCGCTCAAGCAGCCTGCCAGCCCTACATTACGAAGTGTTTTCCCCCCTTCCATGACCCCAAGCGCCTGAACACCCAAGTACCTTATGCATCTACTCTCTTATTCACACACTCTCTCTCTCTCTCTCTTTGTCTCTGCACACACAATCTCTTTCTCTCTACCAGTTTTTGGTGACCGTCATGGTTCTTGATCCCGCTGCGTAATCCTTGGCGTAGTCAGTGCCGATATACCGGCCCTTGAACGCCCAGATGATGATGCTGGGCAACCTCCACGTTCCCATCTGGCCGGTAGCCCTGCTCCGTCCAAGCGTGATGCCGGCCACGACCTTGGGGTCGACGACGTACGGCGTCGGCCTCGGCGCGCCCGTGAAGTGAGCCTGGATGCTCTTCACCACGTGCTGCACCTGCAGGTCCGCCAGCCGCCCGTACCCGCCCTCGAGGTTGCCGACGTCGCCCACCACAAAGATGTTGTCGTGGCCGACCGCGCGCAGGCTCTTGTCCTGCTTGACGTACCCGGGCGGGTCGAGCATGTTGGACGGCAAGAAGGCGGTGTTGGGGATGGCGCCGACGGTCGGCAGGTACGCGTCCGTCTGCAGCGTCGTCTTCTTGCCGCTCTTGTCCGTGAGCTCGAGCGTCTTTTGGCCGTTGGCATCGGTCTTCACGCTCGTAACCTTCGTGTTGTGGATCGTCTTGATATTGAGCTTCTGCAGCTCGTTGAGCGCCGCCTTGCGCACGCTGTCGGTGAAGGGAGGGCCGAGGGGCAGCTCGTCATTGTAGATAAAGTAGACGTCCTTGCTGCGCTTCTGCGAGTACTCGAAGCCGATCTCGCCCACCGTCTCGGTGCCCGTGACGCCGCCGCCAGCGACGACGATGCTCTTGGCGTCGGAGAGCTGCCGGCGGATGTCGCCGAGAGCCTTCTTGGTCTCCTCCGTCGTACCGACCTCCTTCCACGGCATGCTCTCCTTGGCGCGGGTTCCGGTCGCGATGACGACGGCGTCGTAGGCGATGGACCTGCGGCTGCCGTCGTTCACCACTACGTCGACGGTGTTCTTGTCGTCGTTGAGCTGCTCGGCCTTACCGATGATGACCTCGTAGCTTTCCTTGGGGTACTTTGCGAATGACGGCTCAATGGGGTGGAAGAGCACGTCGTCGCCAAATTGGCCAGGCACAACGCCGCGGACGGAAGCGAGGTTCCAGTAGCTGTGAAGCTTGGGTGTAAGTGGATGACGTCTTGCATATCGTGTGTGTGTGTGTGTATGTGTGCGTGCGTACCACGCCACCAAGTATGGGGAACTTACTGCTCAGAGTTGGGCGTCACCAAGATGACCTTCAGGTCCTTTACCAGCGGCACTGTATGCTTCAATGCATGGTGTGCAATGGGCAGGCCGGCAAGGCCAGCACCAAGAACGACGAGGGTAGGCATTATCGCGTGTCTGTTGAGACTTGCGGTAGTATGTTGGTGTGCGAGGTAAGATAGGGAAGTTGCGTTACGAAGCTTCTATAGCTCCGGGAGCTTGGTAAGGTAGCTTTGAAGACAGCGGTAGGTCGTATTAAGGGTTTCTGGTCCCCCTTGCAGTTATGCTAGGATGTAGCTCTTCCGAGTTTCTGATTCGTTTCGAAACGTTGGGAAGATGTGTGAGTTGGAGGTGGATAGGCAGACTAGACCCTCTAGTATCAAGAAGCAGAGCGTGGCGACGAGATTTGCTTTATACAAGATTGAACGGGGCAGGACTTTGGTATGCGTCAAGTCATGGTTAAAGTTGTGTGCGCCAGGGAAATCGGACTTCACAATTGCGCCTAGGTTTTTTTTGCGTTCAACGGGGCGCCAAGGTGTAGTACGCGGTGTAACTCGGAGACATTTCTGCTCCGTTTTGGTGTAGAGCACCCGAGCCATCGACAGGGCCTCCCGGAAGTCCCAAGTCGTCAACCCCGGACGGATACCCAAGACGGAAGGAACCACACCTCAGATAGAGATCTAGACGGGTACCTCAGGTGCTAGATTGATCATTGTGGGCTGTGACGAGGCGCATCGTACGGATTAGCCGCTCGGGGCGGATACAGTTATTAGTCAGGTAGGCGACTACAATCTATTACCTGTAGACTAGGCGCGCGAAAAACAACAGGTGTAAGTGACTCATGCAATGCTTTGAAAGGGGGAAAAACATCCGCTTGCGCTACTTGCAAGGGAACAACTGCGAGAAACGGGGCCTAGACAGATAAAGACATTGAAAACTGAGCAGCACACTTGCAAGGGAATGCTGTATGTTTGAGAGTGCGAGTGAGCGCGCGGTGCGGAGCGGACTTTTTTGCAGGCACTGAGACATTGAAGGGCAGGCGCTGGCATGACTAAGAATCCTTACGATGGCAGGTCGTGACGACTCTCTCGGGAAGGAAGGGCGTGACGAGATCACATGATTGTACATGTGATACGGAGATGATCAGTACTCCGGGCCCGTGCGGAGGAAGACCACCCAGCCAGGATTTCGGGGACTGGACCCAAATCCCTCCGGACCGGCCAGGTCCTTATCCCGAGCTGGTTACGTTCTTGTCCCGACCCGGCCACGCTGTCCCTCCGATCTCGATCTTGACAGTCCCGGGGCCTTGAGTCGTGGCACTCAGTTGGCTCTCACCACTGTAGTTATCAGCAATATCGACCCATCAACTGCGCTGTCATGATGGTTTATCGGTGGGAGATGCAAGTTTGCCAAGTTTGCGACAGAACCGTTGGCCTGTTTTGGCTCCACGATCCACAGGTAGGGATGTGGTGCTGGCGAGCGAACCATTACCAGGATGTCTGTACGGAGGACTGGGATTATAAACATCACTAAGACGAGCTAATCACAACTACAAAGTGAACAGAACGCAATGTGGCCGCGTCTTAGCTATTGTATTGGCATGCTGCTCTACCCTATATACGACTAGCATCCCTCCACATTCAGCTTATAGCGGCAGCCAGGAAAAGAAAGGAAAACATCTTCTGGCCTCTTCAACAAGTGTAACCAAAACTCCCCAACCTGGACCACTTTCTTTGCCCGTAACGACCCGTAAACGTTACATGAAAATGAACAGGGAACCGATGAGGCAAAGACCCATGGTCATGAGGCCGAGACCAGGAGCGAGGCTGAGACCACTGGCGCGGGCAGGGTTCGACGGCTGAGCACCACCAATAGGGGGCGCGCTAGCACCGGGCATACCGGGCATGGGCATCGTCATACCGGGAGCCATGCTCATGCCGGGCATGTTGGGCATACCGGGCATTCCACCGCCACCGGGGGTAGTCGGGGTTCCGGCAGGAGGCGCAGGGGCGGGCATCGGCATCGGCTTAGGCTGCATGGTGCCGCCTCCGCCACCGGTGCTGTTACCGCGGCTACCTCCCCCACCAGTCCCTTGACCAGCACCAATGGGTCCGGCATTCGTAACGCGGAAAAAGTTACCGGCGACAACCTTGTCTGAGAGACCGGCCGCCATGAGGCCGTTCATGACGTTGAAGTCACGACGGCTCTGAGCCGCGCCGGAGAGGGCCATCAGGCCTTGCTGCGTAATCATCGTGTGGTCGACCGCGACAAAGGTGTATCGATGGCTGAGAGGCTCTCTCGCGGGCGGGTTGGGGCCAATGTACGGCGCCAGAGCGGCTGCGTTCATCTTGTTTTGCATGAGGAACACCTTCTTGGGCCCGGCAGTGGTGTTGAGCGTCGTCGGGGTATCTGCAGACATGAGGCCGGTCTGCATCCAGTGGAGGAGAGTTCCGGTCTTGGGAGGTTGGTTGGTCGGGACGTCAATATCCACCATTATCACCGCATATTGGCCCTTGAGCTGCTGCTCGGTCGCAATTGTGGGTTGCGTCTGACTAGCTATTGGGTTCTTGTTAGGTTGACCTCGCTCTTTGGTCTCGACCGTGTGAAAACTTACAGTCCCTAGGCAGGTTCACGCCATCCAGTGCCGAGATGCCTCCGTAAGAAACAATTAAGGGAGTGTTTGATTGGGGCATAAAGCCCATGGGCGTAGCGGCCGACGTCAACGTCGCCGCCGCCAGGACGGCAATAGCCTTGGACAACATTATTAAGAAATATCTTGAAGGAGCGGATAGTAAGTCGCTACTGTGTTTAGAATCGAAAGAAAGAAAGGAATGAATAAGAACAACACAGCCAAGCGGAAATACCTGGCTCAACCACAACGTCGTTTAACAGGAAAGAAAAAGAGTTCAGGCCACGCTCATCTTGCCTTTGAGCGACCTGCCCAGACATTATCTAGGGCGCCTACTCTTTTCGCCTCATGTAAACCTTGGGGGTCATCCGTGGGTGCGGAAACATTGTCGATCCAGGATGAAACGCAGTCTTAGCACTATTGTTACAAGACGCAACTGCCTGCTGCATGAAGCATTGGCCCGCGACCACACTTCCTGGGCCTCGGGAGATGCGCGTCGATGGACGGGGAGAGCCTGTACCTGGATTATGCAGGGTTGCCCTTATTTGAACTTAACAGGAACAAGCTGCGACTGCATGTTGCGATATCGCGCCCTGCCGAGGGATCGTGAGTTCTCCACCCTCTGTCCGCCCTGGGTGTTTGCTTGAAATAACGATACATCATGCCGAGATCTCCAGCATTATCCCGCTGTTGCCTTCTGTGCCGCTATATCCTCCCAAGCGACCCCGGGAAAGACCCTTAGAACCTGTCCCATATTGCATTGGCAGAGTCTGTGAAAATAAAGGTTGGCGATCATTTTCGCTGGCTAGAGTAGTCAGCTCAGAGATGGGATGCTTATGCGACGCCGGCATAGTTTCTGGACTCAACCCGAGGTCTGTGTGTTGGGGATGCGCCCTTACTGTCTTCTCCTAGAAACTGGTCATTGCGGTGAAAGCCAATCACGTTGTGTTGAGCTGGGCTCCGGCTCTCTTGCGTGTTGATAGCTGAATGTAAGCCAAAGACAAAAGTCCCCGTGACTTGCGAGACCAAAAACAATAAAGAATGATCTGTCCTGCCACGGCGCTTCCAAGAAATGGGGAAACGGATGCAGCCGGCCTGGCTTCTAGGAATCCATGTTGACCTGGTGGCTGGCACAACCCCGCCACTGCGAGTACTGAGTTGCAGGAGACCATGAAACATCGGCCTTTTGTTTCCGATACTCGGCATCCGGAGTCTACCAGCGTCTTCGCCAATGGCCGTCCGGAACGTATAAAACCCAAAAAGGACGCCATCTGAACTTCACCACGAGGCCACAGGCTGCAGAGAAGATAATGATGGTGAATATGTGCGCAAAGCCCAAATGACTGCTCGTCGGTGATCCGGCTTATTGCGCAACAGACTCGGTTCAACAAGGGATTTTAGAGGTGAAAGTGAATCCTAAATGGCTGGAACTGACCCAAATCCGGATAGGAATGAGGCTCAAGCTTGTCTCACCTACCAATGACCTTTTCAGCAGCCAAATCGGCGTCAATGAGTCGTCAAGGCAAGGTTTGCCCGCCTAATGCGCCTCAGAGCCAAACCTATGCTGCATTAACATTATTAGCACCAGAGTACTGTGTGAACGCCAAGGTTCCGCGTGGGATGCTGACATCGTCAAGTTGCTTTTAGTGGTGATAGGAATGGTGCTTGGCCGTGGTCTATTGGCTTCAGCTGATCGACTGCGCAACACCAGCAATTGGAGTTTGCAGGAATGATCGTCCGTCGTCCTCCTCTCATGAACACCCTTCTGCCACCTGGGATGAGTACAATGTGATTTGTCGCCGCAAGAGTGTTTGTCTGCTCCAAGAGATCGACAATGCGCACAACTAGATGGGGTCTCCCGGTCCGAACACTAATGCATTCGTACACTTTGACTTTCTGCGAGCGAACACGCCGTCCAACTGGTTGGAGGACATGATAGCCATGGCTGAACCACGATAACCCTCCGATTCTCTCAATTGGTAGCAGGGTCTGGGATGATTGATATACAAACCAAACCTAGACCTATTCGATGGTTTGCGGAGCCCGAGACTCTTTTGTGTGTATGGTTGTCCGACTCAGAACACTCCGGCAGCGGGGTTGGTGGAGGATCGGCAAAAGATCGACCTGGGTTGTCGAGTGTTGTAAGGCGAGACAAGGGTCCTTTAGGCAAGATCAGACGGGAGTTATCGTGGCACACGTTGGTGGATTCAACGGTCGTCATCCCCCTTCCCGTCTGCGTAGTTGTTGGACAAGTCGTATTGTAATTCGTCGCGACTACGCAGGTCTTTGCCCAGAAACGCAAGCGTCTGAACAATGCTTCTCGGGCGGTCGATGCCGTGCCTACTCCCTTGGAAGTCCAGTTAGTATCCCAAGATCACAATCTCATGTAGACAGAGTTCTCAAATACCGTGTCACATCTGATGTGTGGTGGTTTCATCTGAATCATGTGCCCACCATCGTTGTACGAGAGAGGAGAGAATCAACCGTGTGTCACTCGGAGGGGTTGATGTGAGCACAGCAACAAAGGCATGACTGCCTCGCTTTCGCGGTGGGAATTGAGTGAGGAGCTTAGGAGCCTTGCTGTAAGTAGGCAGTGGGCATGTTGGTACATAAGTTAGAAGGGCAGCCTTTTGGCCGGGATAAAGTGGATGATATCGTATGTTGCACTTCATCATCAGGATATGACAAGAGGAAGAAATTTGCGAAGCCCACTTATTCATCTGAAGTGGAAGTAGGTAGGTGGAAGGGCCATTTTTATGGCGTGTACTACCTTCCACGTTGCGCTTTTCTGACGATATGCCCCCATGGCGAGTTGGGGGAGAAGTACATACGTTTTGTATAAGCCATGGACATTCTCATCTGGTAGGTGCGGTCTGGTGCCTCTCCATTTCAATCTCCTGGCTACGGCAGGGACGATTGCCCACGTGTTCTTTTAACCGACACGGTTACCCTACATTGGTGGTTTTGGTCCTTAACGTCACTTCGAGCACTGCAAAGTTCATCGAATTAGTTACTATCACTAGGATGTGAAGATTTATTCAGCAAATCATCATACCATCAAAGGAGAGTTTAATGTCATGCTTCTGGGCAGGGGCTATTTTGTAATGGGATGATGACATACTGCGGGTTGAGAATGATGGCATCACGTAAGATAGGCTCATAGTTATCCCGTTTGCTGCCGAAGGCTTATAATACCACTCGCTGAGCTTTTCAAATTCGAGAAGATTCAGGGATATATCTGGTATTCTACCATTTGGGTGGCTTGCGCTGGTATGTCTCAGGGGAGGAGCAAGTAGATGTGGTTATCTCTCAAGAATGACTTCGATAGAGCCTTGCA